CCAAGTTAAAACCAATCTAATAAAACCAAAAAGATCCATCAGGGTCAATTATTCCACTCTGCCTATGATTTCTTTCCGTCTGACTTTGTGGCTTGGACATTGAAGGGTGATTCTGCTGTGACTGCCACATTCTGCCTCATGGCTTGGTTGAAGAACATGGTCAGGGGAAAAGGGTGTGCCAAGAAATCTATAAGTCAATGCCCTGAGGGGCTGTTTTATTCCAAGCAATATGTAAATCAAGGAACAATTTCCTCTTTAAGAGAGCCAGATGGTTTCCCCTGTCAGGCCACACCCACCAACATAAAGTCTGTGCACTTTCCCGAATTCTGTCCTCTCATTTTCCGTCCGTTCATTAGAAAGAGCAAAAATGATCCTGTGGCTAAACGTGGTGTCCTTACTAGCAGTCCTTAGAGGTAATTCCTTTCTTAATATACTGGTTCTTTGCATTTTAATTCTTGTATAAAGGAAAGGTCATTAAAACTTTCTTTGTAGGTGTCCAGTCAGAGGTCCAGTTGGTGGAGTCTGGAGGGAACGTGAGAAGACCTGGAGAGTCCCTCCATCTCTCCTGCCAAGCCTCTGGATTTGATTTCAGCAGCGACTGGATGGACTGGATGAGACAGGCTCCTGGAAAAGGACTGGAATGGGTGGCAAACATGGATGCAGGCGGTAGCCGTTACTACTCGGACAAAGTCAAGGGACGCTTCACCATCTCCAGGGACAATGCCAGAAGCCAGCTGTATCTGCAAATGAACAACTTGAAGCCAGAGGACTCGGCAATCTATTACTGTGCAGGAAGCACAGTGAGAGGAGTGAATCTGAAGCCAAGCAAGAACCTTCTCTTCCTCAGAGCAGCCCTTCAAGTTGATTTAGTTACAGATACTTGAACTTGTGTAATTGGAATGAAAAGCAGCAGATGAATCTCCACCATAGCAAGTGGGAACCCAGAGCTGACCTTGGAAGAGGCAGTAGGGAGCCTCATTACCACTTGGTTGGGGGAGAAGAAGGAAATTTCAGGACAGGGTAATAAACTGGGAAGTGTTACAAAAAAAGTTAAGTTAGACATATGGTTTCATTACCTATACTTCTTCCATCATATATGATTCCCCCCACC